CCCAGATGTAAAGAATGGGAGGTTGATTTTTCATTCGTTTGTTTTTTCTCTACAGTATTTTGAGAAACGCTCTATCAAACAACTAGCTGATTACTAAGCAAATGAAACAGAGACTTCAGTGAACACACATGCCAAATAATACAGTCTTTACAAAAATAGTCTAGAAAGTCACTAAACAAACTACAGCCCACAAGAAGTAAAAATGACTAACCCTAAGGTGGGAAGAGACTCCAGTTTTGAGTTACCACATTGTAATATTCAAGATGCATGCTTTTCAACAATAAAATATGCTGCACACAAAGAAACAAGAAAGTCTGAATCATTCACAGGGAAAAATGAAATTCACAGGGAAAAAAGAAATCTGAATTATTTTGTAAATAATTCACAGGAATCTAAATTCTTCCGTGGAATAATTCACAGAAACGTGAATCATTCTGTGAAATAATTCCAATGTCTGGAGGGAAGCAATCCTCCTGCCTCTGGCCTCAAGCTATCCTCCTGCCTCTGCCTCCCTAAGAGCTGGGATTACAGGTGTGAACCACAACATCTGGCCCAACTGATTTTTGTAAAGAGTGTCAAGATCATTCAGTGGAGAAAAAATTGTACAACAAATGGTACTGGGACAACTGAACATCCACATGCAAAAGAATGAAGCTGAATTCTTAACTCATACTATATACAAAAAAACTCAAAATGGATGATCAATCACCTAAATATGAGCTAAAACTATAAAACACAAGAAAACAAAGAATAAATCTTTGTGACCTTGGATTTGGCAATGGTTTCTTGCTCTGACAACAAAAGCACAAGCAACAAATTAAAAATAAATAAGTTGAACTTCATCAAAATTAAAAATTTTTCGTGCCTCAAAGGGCACTATCAAGAAAGTGAAAAGACAATCCAAAAAATTGAAGAAAATATTTGAAAACCATATATCTGATAAGGGTCAAGTATCCAAAATACATAAAAACTCTTACAACTGAACAAACAAATATAAACAGTCTCATTTAAAAATTGCCAGAGGCCAGGAACAGTGGCTCATGCCTATAATCCCAGCACTTTGGGAGGCCAAGGCAGGCTGATCACTTGAGGCCAGGAGTTCAAGACCAGCCTGGCCAACATGGTGAAACTCCGTCTCTACTAAAAATACAAAAATTAGCTAGGCCATCGTGGTGCATACCTGTAATCCCAGCTGAGGCACGAGAATTGCTTGAATCCAGGAAGCAAAGGCTGCAGTAAGCCAAGATCATACCTCTGCACTCCAGCCTGGGTGTCACAATGAGACTCTGTCTCAAAAACAACAAACAAAAAATGGCAAAGGTTTAACTAGACATTACTCCAAAAAAGATATACAAAAAGCCAGGAAATATATGAAAAGATGTTCAACATGATTCATTATTAGAAAAATGCAAATCAAAACCACAAGATACTACTTCATGCCCACTAGGCTATAATCTAAAAATTTAAAATGGAAAATAACAAGTGTTGATGAAGATGTAGAGAAACTGGAACCCTCACACATTGTTGACATGAATTTAAAATGTTGCAGTTTCTGTGGAAAACAATTTGGTGCTTCCTCAGAATGTTAAAGATAGAATTATCATATGACCCACTCGGGTGTACCCAGAATTAAGAACAGGTGTCAAAAACGTGTACACAAATATTTCTAACAGCATTCTACACAATAGCCAAACAATGGAAACAACCCACATGTCTATCAACTGATGTATCATTTAAAAAGCCAGGCCTATTCATAAACAGAAAATCATTCAGCTATAAAAAGGAATGGATTCAGCAGGTCATGGACTCTTAAAAAATAAAAAAAGAGAATGGATTCCTGATACATCTTACAAAATGGAGGAATGTAAAAAACATTAAGCTCAGAAGCCAGTCACAAAAAGTAACACACTGAATCATCCATTAATATGAAATATACAGAATGAAAAAGTCCATAAAGACAGGAAGGTTTGTGACTATCAGGGACTGGGAGAAAAAGGACATAGAGAGACTGCTATATAAGATTTCCTTTTGGGGTGATTAAAAAGTTCTGGAACTAGATAGTACTGATGGTTGCACAACATGGTGAGTGTACTAAATGTCACTGGATTGTACGGTTTGCACTTTTTTTTTTTTAATTAGAGACAGGGTCTTGCTATGTTGTCCAGGCTGGTTTTAAACTCCTGGCCTCAAACTGTCCTCCCACCTCAGCCTCCCAAAGTGCTGGGATTATAGATGTGGGCCACCAAGCCTGGCTATACTCTTTAAAATGGTCAAAATGGCAAATCTTATGTGGCGTGTATTTTACCAAAATTTTTGAAAGACATTTCAGAAAAAAATGCAACTACATAGGGAAAAAATATTGATACTGTTTGCATCTTTCAATCTTTACGTCTATTTTCATGGTTTTTGATTGCTTAAATGTTGCCAGACTTTCATTTTATCTTAGCTAATACCTTGTACAAAAACACAGCAAGTCGGTTTTTAAAAAATTTTATGTGAACCATAATAAATGGATTTCTGCTTGGGGCATAAAAAATATATTTAGTCTTTGTCCCAAGTTCCTGGAACTTGTAAAACCTTTGCAATTTGCCAAACGTTGTCTTCTGTTATTCATAATAAGCACCTTTTAGTCACACCTGGGTTTATGTTAATGAGACTCTTGGTGGGCACCTAGATAGCTTCAGGAAGGAGGCTAGTTGCCAGAGGAACCAACCATGTGCTTAGAGGGTTGGAAATTTCAGCCCCATACCCTGACATCTGCAGAGACAAGCTTAAAAATGAGTTATTCACTAATGGCCAATTACTAAATCAATGATGGGTATGTAACGGAACCTCCATCAAAACCCTAAATGATGGGGCTCAGAGTGCTTCTGGATTGGCCAACACATCCTGTGCTGGGAGAGTAGTGCACACCAATTCCATGGAAACAAAAGCTCCTGTGCTTGGGACCTCCAGTCCTCACCCCAAGTACTTCTTCATCTGGCCATTCATTTGTATCTTTGACAACAAAATGGTAACAGTAACGTGTTTCCCTCAGTTCTGTGCCATTTTAGCAAATTACTGAGCTGGAAGAGGGGGTCATGGGAACCCCCAATTTGTAGCCATGTCACAAAGAAGCATGGTTAACCCAGGGACCCTCTACTTATGACTGGTGTCTGAAGTGTGGGGCAGTCATGTGGAACTGAGCCCTTAACCTGTGGGGTCTTCACTAATTCTGGAAGTATCCATTAAAACTGTAGGACACTGAGTTGATGTCTGCAGAGAATTGGAGAATAGTGTGAAAAACCAACACATTTGGTATCAAAGGTCTTGTGAAAAGCAGTTTTTCTTCACTCCCAATAACAGGTGATGATACAGATACAATCTGTGATAACCCTATTTTCTCTATACTCAGTTATACTGTCCTGATGTCCACAAATAGATTCTGCTGTATGACTTATTGAAGAAATCACCTAGAAATGTTGAAATTGTTCAAGGATTCAGGGACTTTAGCTAAAACTGTTCAAAAATTCAGGGACAATAAATCCTTAACATGCAAAAAAAGAGACAGAGAGAAATTTCAGATTTTTTAAAATCTGATTTCTAACTTTTTGAAGACTCAGAATATTTGGCATTACTGGAACTGCTTTCCTGCCTACCCAGATTTGCTACAGCTGAGGCTGCCTTGTTTAGGTAGGGCATGTACTCTTCAATTCTCCATCTTCCCTACTCCTTGTTGTCACTCTGAGCAGCCTCATTCATCTGATTCTAAGGACATTTGAGTATCTCTGGGCCTGCATGGATGCTTTTGAGGATTTGAAGTTGGCTGGTGATGGTAAGTCTCATTTACTAACAATTGCTTTTTGCCTGGAACATGAGGATCTGAAGGAACAGTGATGCTCCCAGTCCAAGTATCTTAAATAACTGTACCACATTCAGAAAACCTCCAGTGGTTCATTGTAAACTAAATGCAGACTAGCTTCTGTTCTAAGAATGCTAGGGGCCAGAGACAACATTTGCCTTACAGAGCTCACAGGTAGGCATGGTAAAGAGGTGTGTGGTGCTTGGGGGAGGGCAGAAGTTATCATGCCCTTGTCTTGCCCATGTTTTCTGGTCCCTTTCTTACTACTTACTATTGGGCCTGCTCTTCTTCAGCTTCCTGATACTTAGTTTGCCTGTTCCTTTTATTGCTCACAATTTTTTAAAGTGGTGAGAGATTCCCTTCTAAAAAGTATCTTGTGGCTTCCAGGATTTTCATCAGAGACCTTGAAAAGCACCAATGAGACCGGGGAATCCAAGGCAGCCACCTTCCTTCGGGACCTGAAAAGTCATGTTTGTGGAAGAGTTTCAGTTATTACAAAATAGGAACTGTGTAACATGCTATCGTGTTGACATTTTATATGAAGGGAATCTACAGTAAATGTTATTTTCAACAGCTGAATAATATCCCATGTCCACATATTTAACAATGCGATATGCAAAAAACTTACTAATTTTAACTCCTTAGAGTACTACTGAGACTAAATATCTCTTCTTACTTTAACATTTTTTTTCTGAATCTGTTTAAAAGCTGCCTGTTAGTGTGTCTAAATTACTTACCTTTAGATGTTAATGTTTTAAGAGACAGGGTCTCACTGCCACTCAGGTAGCTAGGACTGCAGGCACACACCACCATGCCTGGCTAATTTTTTAATTTTTTGTAGTGAAGAGGTCTTGCTATATTGCCCATACAGGTCTGAAACTCAGGGCCTTAAGCAATCTTCCTGTCTCAGCCTCCCAAAGCACTGAGATTAAAGGTCTGTGCCACCATGCCCAAGTACTACACTTTTATATCACAAATTTTACAAAAGTATTTCCACGTTTTGTGCTTTGTCTTTTAAACTTTAAAACAAAAACAGACAGAAATATTTAGTTTCTAGTAGTCAATTTATCAGTATATACCCTGTGGCTAGTTTCTGGCTTTCATCTAATGCCTAGAAAGGTTTTCTCTATTGCATGAAAATAAAACACGTACTCAGATCTTTTTCCTTTTTTAAATAAATCTTTATTACTTTTCACCTTTTCAAAGTATGCATGCTTGTTGTCAAAAATTAAACAAATAAATTAAGGTAGGTAGAGTAAATATCTTTATTATGGGTTTTTCTATCCAAGAACAAGGCTTCTCTCTCTCTCCATTTATTCAAATTTCCTTTGTAAAGTGGCCCTCAGGTGAAGGCTTAAATTTCTCCACACGAGTCCTCCATAACTTTATTTCTAGAAAAATCTACTTTTCTTGATGCTACTGGGAACGAAATATTTTCCTTCATTATATTTTCTAAGTCCTGTTGGTACAAAACAAAGCTATTTATTTTTGGATGTTTCTCTTTAACTGGTCATCCTTTCCTGATTAAAAATTGAATAGAATAAAAACTGTTGCCATATGAAGACTCTGCCACATTCATTCCCTCTTGGGGGTTTTTCAATGGATGAATCTGATGATACTTGATCTCTCTTGGCATTAACCTTGTGAGTTTTCTACATCTTTCTCATTATTAGGATTTTCCTTCACTATGGACACTCTGATGCTGACTGAGTTGGAAGCTAAACCTGAATGCTTTCCCACACACATTACACATATATGGTTTCTTCCAAGTGTGGACCGTCTGGTGTATAATGTAGTCAGAACTAAAGCTGAAGCCTTTGCCACATTCCACACATCTGAAGGGTTTCTCCCCAGTGTGGCTTCTCTGATGCCGAATTAAATGGGCATTAACATGGAAGGCTTTTCCACACTCCTTACACTGAAAGGGTTTCTCTCCAGTATGGATTCTCTGGTGCACAATATAGTTGGAACTACAGCTGAACGCTTTCTCACATTCCATACATTTGAAAGGTTTCTCCCCAGTATGTATCCTCTGATGCCTAGTTAGTTTGGCATTGATACTAAAGGCTTTCCCACATTCCTTACATTGAAAAGGCTTTTCTCCAGTATGGATTCGGTGATGATCAAGTAGGTTTCTTTTAGAAGTAAAGCATCTCCCACACTCATTACATTCAAAAGGTTTCTCCCCAGTGTGAATTCTCTGATGCCGCATCAGTTTCCCATTAACACTGAAGGCCTTTCCACACTCATTACACTCATAAGGCTTCTCCCCAGTGTGAATTTTCAGATGCTGTCGAAATTGGGAGTTACACCTGAAGGCTTTCCCACATTCATTACACTCATAGGGTTTCTCACCTGTGTGAATTCTCTGGTGTTGGATTAACTTCCCTTTGACACTAAAGGCTTTTCCACATTCAGTGCATTCATAGGGTTTCTCACCTGTGTGGATTCGCTGATGCTGAATGAGTTTTGTATTATTACTGAAGCCTTTTCCACACTCCTTACACTGATAGGGCTTCTCTCCTGTGTGGATGCTTTGATGCTGCCTAAGCTGAGAGCTGCACCTGAAGACTTTTCCACATTCATTACATTCATAAGGTTTCTCTCCAGTGTGGATTCTCTGATGTTGAATTAATTTTGCATTAACATTGAAAGCTTTCCCACAGTCATTACACTCGTAAGGTTTCTCCCCAGTGTGGACTCTCTGATGTGTAATATATGCAGAACTACAGCTGAAGCCATTTCCACACTCCTTGCACTGATAAGGCCTCTCTCCCGTATGAATTCTCTGATGCCTACTTAGGCTTCCATTAACACTAAAGGCCTTCCCACATACCTTACACTGATAGGGCTTCTCCCCACTGTGGATTGTCTGATGTGTGATATAATGGGAACTGTAGCTGAAGCTTTTTCCACACTCCACACATTTGAAGGGTTTCTCCCCACTGTGAAGTCTTTGATGCCAAATTAATTTCTCATTAATGCTGAAAGCTTTGCCACACTCCAAACATTGATAAGGCTTTTCCTCAGTGTAGTTCTCTTGATGTTGATTAAGCTGAGAGTCACACCTAAAGGGCTCCACTAATTCTTCACATTTGAAAGCCCTTTCCTCAGAATTAATTATTTCATGCTTAACGAGTTTTGTATCAAAGCTGATGGCTTTCCCCAGGCCTGTACACCCAGAGGGCTGCTCTACAGTGATGGTATGACACAGATATGAGTTTGGACTTTGACTAAAAAAACACTCCTCCATGGGGCTTGTCTCATCTTTCACTGTTCCATCAATGGTGTTGCTTTTTTCCTTCTTTATATTTCCTGCAGAGTAGACTTCCTGTTGTTTCTCTAGAAGAGAGGTTTCTAAAAAGTCTGTTTCCTGGGAAAAGTCCCTTTGAAGTTCAAATGATACATCCTCTTTCCCGTAATACATTTCCTTTGTGAAATCACTGTCAGTCTGAATATCTACTATAAAAGACAGAAAACATAAAATGTCATGCAAGAACCATGTTAGAAGAGAACTGTGCTATAAAAGACCATAATAATCAGGGGGCTCCCTAAAATCATTGGACTAGGTCAAAGAACCTTCGGTTTCTCTATAAGGTGGGATAAGTAATATGTAGCTAGTAAAAGAATACAATAAATCCATACACGCTGACAGAAAAAGACATCCAAGATACAATCAAATGGAAAAACAAGTTGAAAAAACAGTATATAGATTTCCATCTGTATAAAGATATAAAAGGCAGATATATATATTTGTACATATCTAGAAAACTTGTAGAAGAATCCACAAGAAACTAAACAAGCTGGCACAGGAAATTTGGTGGACTTGCTTCCCCTTTATATATTTTTTGTACTGTTCTGAGTATGTGTCAATATTATAAAGTAATGATAAAAAAAAATCGCCAGTCTCAACTGTGCCTAATGCAATGCCACTGTAGAGAACATAACCAATCATATGAAGGTTAAAAGCGACGGCCGGGCAACATGGCTCACACCTATAATCCCAGCACTCTGAGAGGCCGATCCAGGCAGATTACCTGAGCTCAGGAGTTTGCAACTAGCCTGGGCAACACAGTGAAACCCCGTCTCTACTAAAATACAAAAAAATTAGCCAGGTATGGTGGCATGTGCCTGTAGTTGCAGCTACTCGGAAGGCTGAGGCAAGAGAATTGTTTGAACCCAGGAGGCAGAGGTTGCAGTGAGCCAAGTTCATGTCACTGCACTCCAACCTGGGAGACAGAGTGAGACTCTTGCCTCAAAAAACAAGGGACAGCAGTGGAATAAAACTCTAGGTCTTGTCCACCAGATCAGCATTCTTTTCATCACACCATGTTTTTTCTACACCCTGCAGTTTCCTCTTAGTTGCTCCTACAGCAGTGAGTTCCTTACTAAAAAAAAAAAAAAAAAAAAAAAAAAAAACGGAAAATGCTGAAGAAGGGAAAGGCACAGGATCCAACAGGATGTGGCTACTTGGGAGATGACAAGAGTCAGCAGCATCAGGAAGCAAAATAGAAATAATTTTGTTTCCTTCCATTCTAAGGAAGGAAACTGTGGACCTTCCAAAACTCCTCCTTCGACTTCATTTCTACTTTACACAGGCTCTATTTAAGGCCCATCTCATCTTATCTCTTCCCTTTCCCCTCCAAATACTGCTGCATTAATCTTGCCTTTTCCTTCACTTCTTCCTCCAAACCTAAACTTGATCATTCCCTAAAAGTCTTTCTACAATCCCAGTAGTCTTTAGAACTAGAACTACTGATCTCTGCATTTGTTCCCAAATTTCTTAAAAGCTTAGCCCCAAAATGTTGCCTCATGTTGTTTCATCTTTCATTATTCTTCAACCATATGTAATATGCCCCCTCCCCAATACTTCATAATTGCCCTCAATAAACCCCTCCAATGGCCTGGATTCCCCAGCAAGTATTTCCAAAATAATATTGGTCTTTTCTCAACTAAAAAAATAATACTCATCCTTTGCTATAGACTGACTGTGTCCTCCCACAAATTCATATTCTGAAATCCTAACCCCTGATGTAATTGTTTTAGGAGGTTGGGCTATGGGAAAACCCTCATGAATGGGATCAATGCCCTTAAAAAAGACCCCAGAGAGCTCCCTTCCTTTCCACCATGTGAGGATACTGTGAAAAGATGGCTGTCTATTAGCCAGGAAGGAGGCCCTTGCCAGACAGAACCTGCCTGGACCTTGATCTTGGACTTCTCAGCCTCTAGAACTGTATGAAATAAATTATTGCTGTTTATAAGCCATCAACTCTATGGCAGTCTGTTTCTGTAGCCCAAACTAAGACATCTATACTATCCTATGTCTAGTCGTCATCTCTGGAATCTATTCCTGTTTTGCTGCACTCTCACCAATACTGAAAATAATTTAATTATTCTCAATATGATAGATAAAATGTCTCTCCTTGTTTTAATTTGTATTTCACTGGCTTCTACTGAGGGTGGACATTTTTCACATTGATTTCACATTTGTACTTATGTGGACCAGACACTTATACTGTTTGTCAATTTTTCTACACTGGTTACTTTCTATTTCTCACATCCTATTGGGTGGCAGATGTCAGTATCCATCTTCCCTTTTTTCTTTACTAGCACATCCTCTATTATTTTGAAGTCACAAAACTCCATTTTCCTCACTTACAGTGAGAATGGCCATTTGACACAGTTGCAGCAAAGGAAACTTAACAGATATCATTGGGTGGGTTTCTGAACATTTTTAAAAAGAAAGTCAACACTGCTGCCATGGGCCTCATGCCCTTCACTGTCCCTTCTTCTGCCTGCCTAGAGCCTGTTTGATTCCTCATCCCAATTAACCCACACACATTAACTACAATGTTTCTATCCCCAGCTAGGAGCATGATGGGTGCCTGGAAAGGTCAAAGACTTCAGGAGAGTCAGCTGCCTACAGAACGAAATCCAGGCTCCTTCGATTAAGGACCTCACAATATCACTTCATTCCCTGTATTTGTCAAGCACATTATGTGGCAAACTCTCCATTTCCAAAACATGCCTTCCTTGGTCATGTATCATCTGATAGAATGATGAAAAGGAATAAAAACCCATGGAAACCATCTAAGAAAAATGAAGACTCACTGAAAAAAATGCAAGAGAATCTCACAGACTCTAAATGTAAGAAATAACAGGGGGCCTCAGGGGGATAAGAAGCCATCTGGCAGCTACTCTGCTGGCACCAATTAGAGCCCTGCTCCTTCAAGTGTGGTCTAGTAACTAGAAGTACTGGCATCACCACCTCACCAGGAACATCACAGAAATGCTGACTCCTGGCCCTGCTCCACACTTACCGCATATCTGTAAGACCTCAGGATTCTTTTACACATTCATACTTAAGAAGCACAAAACAAGAGCACTTCCTCCCTTCCACATTACTTTCCCCATGTACAGATGTCTTCGCCAACACCAAAGTAAAAATATTAAACTGAGCACACACTATAAGCTAGGCACTTGATATGTGTTATCTCATTTAATCCTCAACCCACAAAACCAGCACTATTACCTCCTTTTATTACTAACCCATTTTCAGAGATGAGAACATGCAAATACCCCAATCAAAGTCATAAAAACTAAGAAGCAGCGCCGTTGGGACTGGATCTCAGAAAAGTCTCCTCTAAAGACTGTGCTTTTAACCACTTCTGTCTGTGTGAAAATGCTGTTAATTCTGTATCCTCCACACTAAGTGAACAATGCTTAGAAATGGCAAGAACCCCAAAATTGCTGAGTCCATTAATTTTGTCTGAGAAAGGCAGGATTTCAAAATTAGGATTGAAAAGAGTCGGAATAAAGGATTTGAAAAAAGATGTATTCTTGCAATTAGACATAACAAACTTTGAAGACAAACAGAAAGAACTCTACCTATCTCTATGAATTATCAAAATTTACTCAAATTTTACTCTCTATGACTGGCCAATAAACATAGCATGTTTCTGCCTAAAGAATTCTCCAACAGAATGGGAAATATGTACCTCCCTTACCAGTCTGGAGGCCATGGAGGCCTGTTCCTGCAGCCAGTGGAGATGGGGCCCCCAGCTCACCTCCTCCCTCCAGTTGTGAGATCACAGCAGGTTTGAGAAGTGGAAATCCTGGTTTGGGAGAGGTAAATAGGAGAGACAGATTAATAATCTCCCACAGATAAATTCCCAAGTCTCTTCTCAGATTGTCTCAGCAATGGGAGGGAAGGTAAGAGCCCCAAGTGGGAGAGTCTGGGAAGGGCCCAGACTGCAGGCCGAGGAGTCCGCACGCAGGGCAAGCAGGGAGATCCTTCCCAAAGGGATACCACTTTTTGACCTTGGCCTGAAATATCCAGAGTACACTGAGATCCTTGAAAAGACTCAAGATAGGTAAGATAAGAGGGGACCTGAAGATGCCACTGTGGAACAGGAAGTCACTGGATTCCAGTGTTTCCAAAACATAGCTACCATGGGTTGGATCAAGAGTGTATACCAATTCCAAGTGAAGTCCTATACAGGCCTACAAAAGGCTTGGCGTTTGCCCCTGCCAGCAACCCCTAAGTCCAGGAGATTAGGAACAGCTCTGGGGTTCTCATTCAGTAAAGGATTACCAGAGATCCCACCAGTAACCTGTAAGGGAGAAGCAAGCCAGGAACCCCAAATGGCAGAGTCCAGGTTCCCAGGGGAGAGAGGTCTTACCCAGGGAGGCCACATTCCCATAATTCTCCAGCATCACATCCCTGTACAGGATCCTCTGTGCAGGGGACAGGCCATCCCATTCCGCCTGGGTGAAGTACACAGCCACGTCCTCAAAGGTCACCAACTTCTGAAACAACAGGTTCCTGCTGCCCTAGGGCCAATTCCATGGCTCAGGCCCTAAGTGAGGGGCAGAGGGCAGTATAAGGGCTTGGGGAGGGTGCTTGTGAGAGCACAAAATTAATATTAACAACAAGGGAAAGATCTCAGAAAAAACATGAAGAAAGTAAACTACAGGGTGTCCACCTTCTCCCACAGCAGGGAAACTTCATGCCATTTTTTTACACAAATAAGAGGTAACATAAGACAGGCTGACAGAAAAACATTTTCCATAAGCAAGTGCCTAAAGCCAAGTCCACTCTTTTAGACAGGCTGCTCCCTCCTGGCAAGCTTGGGGCCGACCCACCAGCCGTTCCCACACCATTCCCCTGAGGTCTTGGCTGCCCTGCACCTAAACACAGCCCTGTTCTGCTCCCCCCATCATCCTCATCCTCACACCTCAAGCCACCCCTAAAGATCAGCCATGGCTTCTGTCTCACCCAGCCCCACCTGATTCCCCTCAAAGACCCCACAACCAAGGGGCTGTGCAGCCTCTGCTTGAGCACCTCCAGCCAAGGCTGCTTCATGCTGCCCAGACTGTGGGGTCTCCTGGAAAGTCAGAAATTTCCTTGCCCTCTCCCATTCAAGTCTCATGCTTTACAATTCTCCGAAACTTCACTGTTTCTCCAGGAACATTTGGGAAAGCAGGGAGACTGGCCTTCCCACTGGCCAGCTACTCTCCCCTTTCCATCAGTAAGGTGTGTGGTTGGCACAAGCTCCGCCACTCAGGGATGCTGCGTGTCACTCCCAGGCCCAACCACCCCTCCTGGGCAGCTGCGGCCTCTGCCAGGCTCACCCTCTGCTCACCTCAGCCTGCTCTAACAGCCATGGGGGCTACGGACAGGGATCTGCCACTCAAACTCTCTCTGCCAGGAGGTGTCTTTGTGAGCCTACTGACCTCCACCCATCAGCAATTCCAGCCAAACTCTAGGTGTTTCTGTGAGTCTGCTTTGTGTGACCTTGAACAAGTAACTTCTCTGCACAAAATGTAATGTCTTCACTGTGTGCCGCCACCACCCCCCCAGTATATTGGCACTTCCTTCTAAACTTATGCCTCAGCTGGGACCAGAATCACCCATACAAGAAACCTCGGCCAGACACCTGGGGATTGTTCTTGACTTGCCGTCTTCCTTATCACCACTAATCCTTTGACTCTCTGTGTCCGAAAGATTTTTTTTTTTTTTTTTTTCGAGATGGAGTCTTGTTCTGTCACCCAGGCTGGAGGGCAATGGCATGACCTCAGCTCACTGCATCCTCTGCCTCCCAGGCTCAAGCAATTCTCCTGCCTCAGCCTCCTGAATAGCTGAGACTCAGTGGGATTCTTCTTTACGAAGTGATCATCTTGCTTTTGAATCTTCCTTAAAAATTATTCCATACACATCACAAATCTGACCAAGTTAACATCAGCGGTTCCACAGCTGTCTTATGGCTGAGCACTTCCTAATCACACAATAACTCTGTGATCCTGGGAAAGTTATTCTACTTGCCCCGGATCACAGAGTTATTTGGTAGAAAGAATACAACACAGCACTAATCACATAGGGCAGCAGTCAGGACCAGAAGACCATACAAAGGACTGAGCATGGGGCCTGCAGCACAGTAAGCCTCCAACAATACAACTGGTATGACTGTGGCTATATTGTTCCCAACTTGTAGTCCATGGAAGTCCATGGATGAGCTTCAGGGGATCCATGAAGTCCCTGAAAGTTTGGTTTGCAGGTTCATTTTTCTGGAGGAGAAGGGGGAAAGCTCTTCTCAGAGACCTAAGTCTGCACCCTAAGCCTTGAAAGCTTCGCAAGAACAATGAGACATTCCGCCCCATGGGACTCCCTGTCTTCCTCCTCCCTTGACTCCACTCCCTGTGACCTTCCCTTTCTCCTGAATTAGAGGCACAGCCATCGTTCTCTGATCTGGTCCTGCTATTCCTCTTCCCTACATCCCCGCCACAGATAGCCCAATCCTCTGCAGACTGTCCTCCACGCATAGCCCTGCACAGAGCATCCCACGCAGGCGGCTTCCATGTCCCCATTCACCCAGAGCCCTATACTGGGGGTGCTCCTGTACAGAGGAGCAGAGACCCACAGTGTGCAGACCACCGCCTTCCTGCTCTCCCACTCACTCTCCCGCTGCCTCCACTTGCTACTGTCTGGGTCTCTGCTGCCCTCCCTTCACACCACCTCTTTCCCACAAATTCCAGTTCAGGTGGAAGCAGCCATCATCCCAAGGCTCACCAGCTCTCCTTCTCAATTTTTTTCAATCTGAAACTTCCCAGAGGAAGAGCTGAAGGACCCACAGCTCACCTGGGGCCAGGCTGTCAGGTGCATGGCTGCCATCCCCCCCGTCTCCCTCTCAGAGAAGGGCTGGAGCTAAAGAGAAATAAAAAGAGGGACAAGTATGAGGCAAGCCACCCCCAGCAGAGCAACATAGCCCGTCACAGAAAATGCAAGACAGGCAGCTTGCATCCAAATAGGAGTGTGAACAGAAGCGGCCCAAGAAAGGAGTGATCTGTTCACTGGCTCAGTGCCTAGGACTTCAGGCTATGACACTGAAATTCACTGCCAGGAACCCTAGGACTTTACAATTCTGACACATATCACACAAACAGAAGAGTGTATATATAAAATGTAAAAATAAACAAACAAACAAAAATAAAAAAGAAGAAGAGTGTATATAAAACCTGCCAGGCACTGTGGCTCATGTCTATAATCCCAACACTTTGAGAGGCCAAGGCAGGTGGATCACTTGAGCCCAGGGGTTCAAGACAAGCCTGGGCACATGGCAAAACCCTGTCTCTACCAAAAATACAAAAATTAGCCATGGGTGGTGACACATGCCTATGGTCTCAGCTACTCAGGAGGCTGAGGTGGGAGGATCACCTGGGCCAGGGAGGTCAAGGCTGCAGTGAGCCAAGATCACACCACTGTACTCCAGCCTGGGTGATGAGAGTGAGACCCTGACTCAAAAAAATAAAAAATAAAAATAAATAAAATAAAATGTATGCAGAACCTAAAAAAGAAAGCAGAGAGTCATGTATCAACAATTCAGTTCAAGAAATAGGACTGTATCAAGATCTTTAACTTATTTCTCTTTCTCAAAACAAGCATCATCCTCAGTATCACAGCAGAAGCTGGGTTGGCTGGGCTGCAGCCCCAGTACACAGGCCTGGGGAGTCAGGCCCCTAGGGAGGCAGCACCCGGAGAAGACGGCAGCTGCTCCCCAGAATCCTGCCTCATTTCTTCAAAGCTCTGAATGTCCTCAAGAAATCCTAACACCTCTGGAGAGGTCTTGGGAAGTCAGTCTCCTACATGGCCCAAGCTGTCCTTAGGAAGCTGAGCTGGAAGTTAGGGACCAGGCTGTCTCCCATCCTTTCCAGTCTTCTGATAGTGAATGAGCCAAGGCCTAGACTTCTGCCTTAGCTCCTGTGAGAGGAGATCACTGTAGCAGCCAGAGTCCCATGACGCAGCGCCTCTTGTTTATTATATTGAAAAACATGTGGACCGGTGATTTTCTGACTTTTACTGCTCCTACAGTCAGTCTCGAAATTATGCTTTCCTAAAATATCATCCATTTCTTCCAGGATTTCAACTTTACTAGTATAGAGTTGCAGAAAATACTGGTTCATGATTCTTTCCATTTCCTCCATATCTGGAGCTAGTTTGCCTTTCCCACTTCTTCTTTTGAATATATGTGCTTTCCAGACTTTTTCCCAGGGTTAGTGTTATGGACTAAACATTTATATCCCTGCCGAATGCATATGTTGAAGCTCTAGCCCCCAACGTGACTGTATTTAGAGACGGGCTTGTGAGGAGGTAATAATAAATGAGGTCCTAAGGATAGAACTTAAGGTCCTAAGGTTAAATGAGTTCCAATAGGGCTGGTGCCTTTATAAGGAGAGACCCAGAGCCCATGCACCCACTCACTCCGTGTCTCCTCCATGTGAGGACGCAATGAAAGGGCTACTGTCTATGAGCCAGGAAGACAGCCCTGGCAGGAGCCGAAATCAGCTGGCACCTTGATCCTGGATTTCCAGTCTTGGGGACTGTGAGAGATAAATATGCTGATGAAGCTGCCTAATCTATGGTATTTCGTTATGGCAGCCCAGGCAGATTAACACAGTTAGGCTGAGCAATGGTTTACTTATTTTAACGTGGTTTCCTTTCACTTTCAAGGAACCAGTTTTTCCAGTTGAGCAACACTGCTTTCCTCTATTTGTTTTAAATTCACCAATTCTGCTGTCTTAGTTTGTTCCTTCAGCTCTGTAAGGGGCAGTTTAAGCACCACTCCAATCCTCTTGTTCGATCCTTAGTCCAGTTCTACAGAGGCTTTAGTCAGTTTTGAGAAGGCGCAACCTACCAGGATCTTCACAAGGACCTGGACCTACACCACCTATGTCTGGTTCCTGCCCTGGGGCTTCTCTGGTATCCTATGTGGGACACCTGTGGACACCTGCTGGGCCCTGAAATGCGGGGGTGTTAACACCTGTGGGACCCCCTTGACCAAAAGGGCACAAAAACCAATGGATAAATGTTTTCCCCTTTGGTCCCCCAGCGGTGCAGCCTTAAGACTCTAAGGCTCCTCAAAGACCCTGCAAAGCAGAGCCTGTTGAGGGCCAAGTGTACCAATGCATCCTTGTATCAGTTCTCCCACTCTGTTTCACTCCCCTTGTCTTTCACTCTGCCCCTGTAACCACATTCCTAAATAAGTTCCTACATACAAATCTTTGTTCCATGTTCCACTTTTGGGGAAACTTAAGACTACAAAGGCTTTTTTCCTACCTTCTTGAGGTTGCATGACTTATTTATTTTCATTCTTTCCTGTTTGGCAATTAAAACCTATAAGGCCACAAATTTTCCTCAGAATACACTATTTGCCACATTCCAGAGGTTTTTATATTTCATGTTTTAATTACTATTTTATAGTCAGCAATTCTGTTTTGTCTTTCACCTAGTTATTGTTTAGGATAATTTGCTGTTGTTAATTTCTTCTCTGTTCATAAGTTCTGGCTTTATTGCATGACGACTATATAACCCAATCTACTAACTTCTACTTTCCACATTTTTCAGGATTTTTGTGACTCAAGTATCCATGTAAAAATATATATTATCTGGTGTTTAAAGAGAAAACTTATTCTGTGATGGGAGAATATATAACTCCATTTTTAGATAATAAACCAATTCTACCAATTACATATGTAGTGTGATGGATACCCCGCTCAGCTAGTCAAGGTTGTACACTGAAGGGTGTAAACCTGCTGCCTGAACTTTGACAGCCAGGCAGTGAGCCAAGACCATAGGGCTCAGCAGAGGAGCAGGTGTTTGCAAGAATGCAAACGTTCTAGAGAGTATATGAGAACCTACCAACAAAAGTTTCGTTGTTTAAATGCAGTAGGCAAAGAGCCAGAAAATTAGCTTAAAAGTACTTAGAGACGAGGGGCACTACAGATCTCTAAAGCTGTCCTGTTGCCATTCAAGAGTAAGTACGTAAGTCCTAATAAATTCATCTACTTGCCAAGCTGGATTTGTCCAAAGCATTCTTTGGTCTCTTGGCTCCCTCCCAGTTTAGAGGAAGGTTTTTAAAAATATGACTCCAGGTTTTTTCTTGTTACAACATTGTATAGATTTTCTACATAATCCTAATTACTTTTACCTAATTAAACCAAGACAGCCAGTGAAGAGCTAACTTTCACAAAACACTGAGTTCAGATGTGTCATTAGCAAATCCATTCAAATGTTTCAGAAATAAGTAATTCTAACATGATGTAAACTGTAGCAGAGCACAGCAAAATAAGTTTCCCAATTCTATTTGTGATGCCAGCACAATACTGATACAAAAACTATAGACCAGTCTCATTTACGAATTCTAATGCAAAAATTCTATCAAGGAATAGACTCCAGTAGTTCATTAAAGTAATACATCATGAGTAAGTAGGATTATCCCTTGAAGATAAACCAAGTTCAATGTTAGGATACAAATTAGCATATTTTTCACATTAATAAATCAAAGACAGATAAACACACTGTCCATCTCAACAGATGCCAAAGGTATTTAACATAATTCAACATTCATGCCTAACTTTAAAAGCTTACACCCTAGAGAAACTCTCATATGTAGGAGGTATGTACAAAAATATTCATTATCAGCATTATTTTAATAGCAAAACACTGAAAACAACCCACATGTCCATTGAAAATACATCGACAAATTTTCATACAGTTTTTACAATGGAACATTACCACATTACCCAGAAGCTACACAGAATGAATTTGGAAACATAACATTGAATTATTCGAGTTACTTATGACTTATACACACAATGGTGCTATTTATATAAAGCCCAAAAACAAAAAAAGTTTAAGTACATTGCTTACAGATACACGCATATGTAATTATCTTTAAAAATAATAGGGCTACAATTAACATAAAATTCAAGACAACTTTTACCTCTAGGGGTGGGAGACTGGGAGTTGGAGTGAGGAAGAGGAACTCATTGATAAATTCAGCAGTACTGGCAATGTTCTGTTTCTAATTGGGTGGTGTGTTCACGGATGCTTTTTACTACTACAGTATATAACATATAACATATAAATATATATTTTTAAATAAATATATAAACCAGCCAAGATGGGGTGAAAGTGAGGACCCAAAATGCAGTACAAAGAACAGCCAATGTGGCTAACAATACTACAATGAACATAGCCACACTTAAGTGGTAGGAAAGAAGTAAGAAACTTTGGAAAACAGTATTTTGATTGAAACACCGTAAGATTAAAGACAAAAAGACCTGCATCCAAGTACTGTACTTTAGGTAGTGAATTTGCTTTTCATGAGGTATGAATTGGCGATTCTGAAACTACTGAATATATTCTAAAACTGACTGAAATTGTAATCACGTTGTAGACGTCATTCCCAGGTCACTGTCACCCCAGAGCCAAAAGAAGTAGGGCTGAGTTACCTTTTGGGACTGACACTGCTCCAGGAGACAGTGTCCTCCAAAAGTCGGGCTTCTTCTGCTGCCGGGTGACTAGGAGGGGCTCTGTACTCCCACTTGGCCCTAATTCATGACCCCATGTCAGAAGCCTGGGAGCACACGGTCCATGCTTGGGATGCACATAGGTTAATGTTCCTGCCAGACCTCAACTCATCAAAAGACTTGCAGTATCATCCAGGGCCGCTTCATGCCCACAAATATTCCACCCTTTAGCTGCACCACACATCTTCCCCCAGCAGACCAAGTGCTAAATGCCCGGGGCCTCGTGGCTGTGACAGCAACACAGGTTTCCCCTTCCAACGGGTGCAACCTATTGGGCCATAAAGACGAAAGCTGGAGTCGAGAAGCGCGGAAGAGCACCCCGGGCCGCCTCCCTGCTCCCTCTCCCAGCCTGGGCCTCCTGGCAACACAGGCCACGGGAGACCCAGCTCCACCCAGGGTAGGAGTGCGTCCCAACCGGACCCAGAGCCTAGGGAACAGGGAACGACGCAGGGTGCCCGCAGTTCTGCACTCACCCCCGGAGCAGGCGGCTCCCCGGCGCTGCCGGAAGTGCGTCACCAGGCGGCCTGGCCTCTCTAGGAGCAAGGTCTCTTCTTCTCGGTGTTGCTCTCTCCGGGTCCCCTGCGGCTGCAGCCTGGCCGATCCTCAGGCTCGGGTGTGGCCCATGCTGACTGTTAGCCCTGGGTGATGGGGAAGGCAAGAATCAGAGCCAAGCGGGGACCCAGCCTGGGAAGTGAAGCTGCAGGTGCAGTCTGGGAGTCTTGGAACTGGACCCGTGGATGGCGCGCTGTCACATCCAATGCCCGCTTTTTCTAACAAATTGTTTGTAATGTCCATCGTATTCTCCTGACCTGATACTCATACATAAAGGCCTAGAAAATCATACATAACATACACACCTACATAGCAAAAACTAATGTTATACCTTAAAGGTTAAGAGAAAAAAAAAGAGAGAGAGAAACGTCATCTGTCGTTTAAAAACACATACTTCAATGTGTTTGGTCATGACTGCTGCAGGAGACCTAACAAGGTGGTCCAGTAGTCGCCTTTACACTTAGACGCTGCCCGAATGCCACAGCCACAAAGCTGTGACTTATATTGTTTCAAAAATCACAAAACTGATCCAAAATGGAGAACACTTTTTGGTGAAATTCTGAATGAAACACAGGATGATTTTCTCTTGATTATACAATAATTAGATTCCTGGAACATCAGTGTATGTTAAAACTGTGAAAAATGCATGTGTTTATCCAGAAAACAGGTTTAGATTCAGACAATTTCGAAATAGAATTTTCACCTACCTGAATGTTCAGCAAGACATTTGAAACTGTGAACATTTTTTCAGTGGGCAGGACTGTCCTGTGTATTGCAGGATCCTGGCTCCGATCCACAATGCTGGTAGAAATGCTATCACCGCCAGCAAATACAACAAAATACCTCCCATAAAATTACAAAATGAGCCCTGGGGGAAGGGAGACAGTACTAAAAGCCACTGGATTGGACGACCCTTAAATCTCCACCCCCTCACACACCCCTAATGCAGGCTTTTCTTCCTTCCAGCTCTGATTTATCTAACGCTGCTGCACTAGAGAGTGATGTTTGCCCCCACTCGCCTCTGTGGCCTCTTATGACTCCCATTGATTCCCTGACTCAACTTCAGCCCACATGCTAAAAATGCTGCCAAATCTAGAATGCGCTTCCCTTCCCATTCCTACCCTCCATCTTGACTGTTACTGGAAGTGTGAGTGCAAATCCCATTTCCCATGGAAGCAAGCCTTTCCTGATCACTCATAATAAGGCAGGATGTTCATTTATGTGCCATCCCAGCACTGTGCACTCATTTAATGGTGATAGCTTATTTATATGTCTGTCTTCTCTGGTGGCTCCAAGGAACAGACACCATATCTATCTTGTCCAACATCATCATCCTCAGCTAGAGGATAATCTGACAGAAAGGAGAGCAATAAACATTTGTTGTTGACATGGTCCAAAGGCTCCAGCCCTAACTCTTAAGCAGAAGCCGACTTTGTGTGTCCCCAAAGGAGAATGAGGGTAGGATATGTCTTATGCCTCAGATCATGACAGTGACCATGACCAGGCACACCCTTCTCTGCCTTGTCATGACCTTGGTCTTCACTGTTTTTCAAAATAAGCTCATTAAGAAAATGGTTCCCATGATTGGGCAGAGTGATAGCTGGAATTATGTTGCTCTTGTCAGTAAGTTCTGATTTTCACTTCTTTGTAGGCTCAGTAATCAGGAGTGAAACTTGTTGAAAGAAATAGGAAGGAATCAGATCACATAAATGCTGGCCCCAAAGGTTTGCATCATAAACCCATTGCCTAATTTTATAGATAAGAAAATGAAGCTCCCTAAATAACCACAAAACTCCTACTCCTACTTCAGACATATCAGAAAAATTAGATAATAATGCACAAACCAATTTACAAAAGCTTTATGGTAGGTATGGAGAGATGGAGACCAGTTCATGTCTGTCAACCCCTGTTCTTCCATTCTTATACGGTTACAGAATCTCTAGCAAGGAATGTGACAGCTCAGGGGAAAAGCACACATTTCCCAGAATTCTTTAAAGCAAAGTGTGTCCATGTGACCAACTTCTGGCAAATAGGCTGTAACAAATTGTGATGCTGAATCCTTAAAGACAAGGGACATGCCCTCCCTAGCCCCAAATCTTCATCGATCAGGTGGAATGTTGACAAGGGAGAACATCTTGGACCAATGCAAATAAGGGTATGGCTGCTGGGAATGACAGAGCAGTTAAAAGGAAGAGGCACAGAGCTGCTATATCAGCCCCAGATGGCTTACTTTCTGATGGTACATGAGAGAGAAATAAACTTTCATCAAATTTAAACCACACTTATTTGGTTCTTCAAATTAATTTCCAAGCCCATAGCCTAACTAATATCCCTAAAAATGAGGAAAGATGGAAAAAATACACAATACAACAGTTAAAAAATTAAGCTGGCTCTTCGACTTCAGCATTCTAGAAGTTCATTTCCTTGCCAGGCCTGCAGCCACGTAGTATCGGTTTCCTCCTGCTCAGCTCTAAGGCTTCTTCTCCTGTACCCTTTGTCCCTGCAGCCCCAAGACCTCCCTAAAACCTTTCCCCTCTGACCACCAAGGAAAACTGACAATCTTCTCATGATAAAAAATTATTTTTGTTGTTTCCAGTTTTAATAGGACAGAGTAAAGATGGTTTGGGCTGCTGCTTTTCATGCAAATTGTGGCAAAACGACAGTCTGGTTGGTGTTCATTCCAGGCGTTCAAGGCTGTTTTTACGTTATAAATTTTTTATTTACTTATTGATGTTGTGAGTTATATGAACAAATCATTTAATCTATGTGAAGAAATGTACTAGGGTAGGGAGAGGTCTTATTCTCAAAACAACCAAACATATATATGAATGTTTACTAATAAATGCTTAAGACATACATAAAGAAAATTTTAAACACTTGGGGACTAAACCAATGAAAACCAGTTGTGTAACTGGAAAGGCACGGGTAATTCCTCAGTAGGAAGTGTATTGTTCTTTATTTAATCGAAGTCCAATGTTATACCAAATAAAACCCCTAAAGAATTTGTTTTAAAACTTGTGAAAATTATTCTAAAACTTGTGTAGAAAAAAATGTTAGATGCAGCCAGGCACAGTGGCTCACATCTATAATCCCAACACTTTGGGAGGACGAGGTGGGCAGATCACCTGAGCTCAGGAATTTGAGACCAGCCTGGCTAACGTGGTGAAAACCCATCTCTACTAAAAATACAAAAATTAGCCCAGCATGGTGGCACACACCTGTAATTCCAACTACCGGGGAAGCTGGGGCAGGAGAACTGCTTGAACCAAAGAGGCGGAGGTAGTAGTAAGCCAAGATCTTGCCACTGCACTCCAGCCTGGATAACAGAGTGAGACTCCATCTCAAAAAACAAAAAACAAACAAACAACAAACAAAAAAAGGTACTTATAAGGTACTACTAACACTTAGGAATGCACAAGTATTGAAAGTTAAAGAGGCCAGGTGCGGTGGCTCACGCCTGTAATCCCAGCACTTTGGGAGGCCAAGGTGGGCAGATCACAAGGATGAGTTCAAGACCAGCCTAACCAACACGGTGAAACTCCATCTCTACTAAAACTATAAAAAATTAGCCGGGTGTGGTGGTGCACGCCTGTAGTCCCAGCTACTCAGAAGGCTGAGGCAGGAGAATCGCTTGAACCCGGGAGATGGAGGTAGCAGTGGGCCAAGATCACACCATTGCACTCCAGCCTGAGTGACAGAGCGAGACTCCATCATAAAAAAAAAAAAAGAAAGTTAAAGAATGGAAAATAGATACATCAGACAAATATGAAGTTAAAGAGAAAATGGCATAGTTATATTAATATCTTACAACAGTGAGTTTAAGACAATAAATATTATTCTATTCTATTCAGAATTCTGTTGAGGGCTATGTAGCAAATAATATCAATGAGAATCTCAAAATTTAGAATAAGAAATAATATTCAACATCATTTTAAATACTTAGCTCACAGGAAAGTGTATCCAGGTACCAAACCAAACAAGAAACTAAAACCAGAGGTGCTGGTTTGGCCTGAAGAGCTCAGCTGATGCTTTGGCCAACATCAGTGGGAATGGTGAAGAGTTGTAAATCTTGATATCTGAGAAAGCAGAATTGTAATATATAGGAGGCAGGCATGAAGCAAGGAATAGAAACAGATATTTTTCTCACACACATATACTCATCCAAATTCCTGGACCCATGAAAGGATAAATCTTTTTAAAATCTCATGAACAAAGAGAGATAACAAAGAATCTTATGGTCCTTGCCTAAGCTTTGAAGTGTTAGTAGAAATATCCCCTAAAAATTTATAATCATAGTTTGTACCATTAAGTATAGAGTTTAAATTAATACTACCTACTTTGGCCAGTAACTCATAATACACGAAATTACATTAAAAACTAATCCTGATAGACTTCTGAAATAGTCACAACAGAATTAGTAGGAAATGACATTTAAAAGTTATTACAGCCACATCTGATACATCTAAAAGGTTAGTGGAGAAATGAAAGATATAAAAATGACCCAAATCAAACTTCTAGAGATGAAAATCTGTAATGTGCAATAAAAATACATTGGATGGGATTAACATCAGATGAGACATTACAGTAAAAAAGATGAGTGAATTTGAAGACATAGCAATAGAAACTATTCAAAAAGGAAACACAGAGAAAAAGAAATTGAAAATAAATGTACAGGATTAAGAAGTCCTGTTTTCTTCACTTACGAGCTATGAGACCTTGGGCAACCACTTAGCTTTTCTGAAATTCCATTGATTCATCTGAAAAATGAAGTAATAATGCATAGCTGCTGTAAATACTACACATGCATACAACATAAAGTACATACAACAGGGACCAGGATTCAGTAGTTGCTCAATTAATGTTACTTTTCCCCTCCTCTAACTTATTTGTGGACCTGATTATATCTTTTGTCAATAAGGGAGTTATTAATGCATAAGTTTGTAAATATGACATATTATAACTAGGAGAAAGACCTACAGTGCCAAACTCCTTCCAAGTTTTTTGTGCATAACCTCACAGAAACTTGCCGACAACAATCAAGTTCAGAGGTTTTTACCACAGAGAAAGCAGATCCAATCCATTGTATGTTTCTGAAAGGAGGTTAACAGGTGGGGGTTAGCAAGTGAAAAGAGGATATAAAAAAGAATCAAGGAACCTGTCTCCAAATGAATACAATATACCTTCTTTCTCACATGCATTGCCTGATAGTTTGCTTATATGTGTCTAGGAAGAGCCCTGACCATTCTTCCTTAGGTAGTACAGCCAGTTAGTACACATTTTCCCCAAATTTGAAGGATGTGGGCCTCCAGAATAACACAATTATACTAGGTACCAATCCCACAGAGCTTCCAAGGGAGTAGGTCCAATTATCAGCTCTGATGCTGAAGTTCCTAGAAAAAGAAAGAATCCCAACCCCCACCTTGTCGTAAAGAAACTTCTAAAGGACTGCTGACTTTAGAGGATTACAATTGCCAGGTACACAGGAGTCGAAAGTCCCAGGAAATTAACAGTGACCACTGCAACGTGTGTTGATAATATCATCCAGGTACAAGGGATGGCAGTACAAAACAAAGAAGCCGTGGTGCTGTCCAAGGTGCTAGTTCCAGCTCGTTCGGGGTGTCTGTGGAGCTCTCCAAGGTTCTGGGGCTGCCTCGGAACCATCGTCCTCCAAACTGGTGCTGCTCCCCTCTGTGAGCGGTGGCTCACACCTGTAATTCCAGCACTTTGGGAGGCCAAGGCAGGCAGATCACCTGAGGTCGGGAGTTCGAGACCCGTCTGACCAAGAAGAAGAAACCCCGTCTCTACTAAAAATACAAAAAATTAGCTGGGGTGTGGTGGCGTGTGCCTGTAATCCCAGCTACTTGGGAGACTGAGGCAGGAGAATCACTTGAACTCGGTAGGCGGAGGTTGCAGTGAGCCAAGATCATGCCATTGCACTCCAGACTAGGCAACAAGAGCGAAACTCCATCTCA